TGGTCAGGCTGGTCTCAAACTCCCAACCTCAGGTGATCCACCCACCTTGGCCTCCCAAAGTGCTGGGATTACAGGTGTCAGCCACCATGCTTGGCCCGCTTTCTATTTTTTTCTATTAAATGAAGATAGGGATGAAAAGAAACAGTAAAGAAGAAGAAAGAAAGTTTGGTATAGACACAGTATATAAAAACAACAGGGGCATGGTGTCTCATGCCTGTAATTCCAGCACTTTGAGAGGCCGAGGTGGGAGGATTACTTGAGCCCAGGAGTTCTAGACCAGCCTGGGAAACATAGTAAGACTATGTCTCGGCCGGGCGTGGTAGCTTATGCCTAATCCAAGTACTTTGGAGGCCAAGGTGGGCGGATCACCTGAGGTCAGGAGTTCAAGACCACCATGGTGAAACCCCCTCTTAAAAAAAAATAAAAATAATAAAATAAATTTTAAAAAAAGACTACATCTCTCCAAAAAAAAAAAAAAAAAAAGCAGGCAGGCCTGGTGGCACCCACTGGTAGTCCCAGCTACTCAGGAAGCTGAAATGGGAGGATTGCTTGAAATGGGAGGATTGCAATGAGTTGAGATTGCACCACGGTGCTCCAGCCTGGGCAACCCCTCTCAAAAAAAAAATTAAATACAAGAGCAAAAGTCAACTAAAATTAGGAGACAATGTGTTTTAGACCAATGGGGAGTAGAGGGGCTGGCAGAAAAGCCACGTGGACCAGCATTTTTTTTTCTCCACATAGCTGCCCGCCTGGAGAGGCTGTGAGTACAGTGGTAACACTGAGACCAATTAAATTAGCAGTATAGACTGGAGTTTGGGGCTGATGAGATCAAGGGGATGCAGAAATCACTGCGTTAAACACTGAGTGTCCCTAAAAGATACTCTCAGGGCAGAGACGGCAATTGGAAACAGATGCCTCAAAACTGCATTCTATTAGTCCCAAAGGCAGCTTGGTGAAAGTAAGAATGACTCAGCATCATCTCACATCACTCCCAGGGAAAAAATGCCCTGAAGCTTGTATCTCACTGATAGTTGTTATAGTTTTGATGTGACTGTACATGATAACCATCTTGGTTTGTTGGCTTCTTTGAATTACAGGTCAAACTGCCATGACATTTGGTGTAAGAATATTAGACTATGTCATCAATTTGTGCAAAGGCAAATTTGACTTCCTTGAACGGCTCTCAGACGATTTGCTCCTGAATATCATTTCTTATCTGGATCTGGAAGATATTGCCAGGCTTTCTCAAACATCACACAGATTTGCAAAGGTAACAGTCAATTATTTTATGTCTATATAGAATTTTCCATGTGCTTTCTAAAAACTTTTTTTAACATAGCAATCATTTGTTGAGTACCAACTTTGTGATGGAGACTGACTGTCTTAGCCACACAACAGCAGAGAGGAGAAGACATTCCTCCCCTCAAAAAACTTACAGTCTTACAGGAGAGATTCATGTAGATACAAATAATTCTAATACAGTGTGATCAGTTCAACAAGGGATGTGTATGCAAGGTACAAAGACAGTGAAAAGTGAGTTTTCTCTGCCTGGCTTCACAGAAGCCCGTTACTTTATCTGGCTTTTAAGGGCGAAATTGGTGAAGACAGGTGATCTGGGTTAGGGGGCATTCCAAGTCAAGGAACAGGCAAGGGGACGCATGGTGGCATAAGAGAATAGGGCAAAGGGCTGGGCGCAGTGGTTCACGCTTGTAATCCCAGCACTTTGGGAAACCGAGGCAGGCAGATCACCTGAGGTCAGGAGTTCAAGACCAGCCTGGCCAACATGGGGAAACCCTGGCTCTACTAAAAATACAAAAATTAGCCAGGCATGGTGGCAGGCGCCTATAATCCCACCTACTTGGGAGGCTGAGGCAGGAGAATTGCTTGAACCCGGGAGGCAAAGGCGGAGGCTGCAGTGAACCGAGATCACACCACTGCACTCCATCCAGCCTGGGGGATAGAGCAAGATTCTGTCTCCTCAAAAAAAAAAAAAAAAGAATAGGGCAAGGAGGAACTACCTGACATCCGTTTCCACTTATTCCAGTAATAGCCTCTGCTGCATTGCCATCTCCCAGTGTGTGTGCTTCCGTGGGCTGTCCATTGCAGTGCCCTGTTTTCTTCTTTGCCCCAAGCAGACAAGATGCACTGTGTCACTGCTTTGAATCCTCAGCAGAATGACCCGAGAGCAGAAAGCACTGTCAGTGCTGATTCCAGCCAGTGTCAAGGCTTCATTGTGACCTTTCTCAGCTGTACTCCACGGATCCTGGAAGGTGCCTTGGTCCCTACTTCTTCCATTGTTTCTTCAATTCTAGACCCCCCAACCCTACCCCACAATCACACACATACTAATTTTCCATTAAATCCCTCTTTCGCTTAAGTCAGTCAGAATTGGAATCTGTTGCTTGCAACCGAGGAACCCCAATTAGCTTGGTATTTAGCTGTAATGTATTGGGGCAATGTCCATTTATAAAAGAACATACAACATTTTCCAAGATGATTCAAATAATAATCTTATTGTCTAAAAAGCCAACATTTTCCAGCACTTTGGGAGGCTGAGGAGGGAGGATTGCTTGAGCCCAGGAATTTGAGACCAACTTTGGGCAAAATAAGGAGATGTCATCTCTGCAATAAATTTTTTAAAAATTAGCTGAGTAACTGTAATCCCAGTTACTCTGGAGCCTGAGGCAGGAGGATCACTTGAGCCCAGGAGGCTGAGGTTACAGTGAGTTATGTTCATATCACTGCACCCCAGCCTGAGCAACAAAGCAAAATGCTATCTCGAAAAAATTTTTTTAAGTAAAATAATCTTTTTTTATTTTGAGATGGAGTCTTGCCCTGTCGCCCAGGCTGGAGTGCAATGGCATGATCTCAGCTAACTGCAAACTCTCCCTCCTGGGTTCAAATGATTCTCCTGCCTCAGCCTCCTGAGTAACTGGGATTACAGGCACCCGCCATCATGCCTGGCTAATTTTTGTATTTTTAGTAGAGATGGGGTTTCCCCTTGTTGGTCAGGCCGGTCTCAAACTCCTGACCTCAGATGATCCACCCGCCTTGGCCTCCCAAAGTGCTGGGATTACAGGCGTGAGCCATTTCACCTGGCCTTAAGTAATATAATCCATATTACAGTACTTCATATGTTCCTTTTGAGTGTGTGTGTGTGTGTGTGTGTGTGTGTGTGTGTGTATATCTATATGTACACACATATAGTTAATTTTTAAAATGGAGGTGGGATTTCACTGTGTTGCCTAAGTTGCTCTTGAACTCCTGGGCTCAAATGATCCTCCCATCTCAGCCTCCCGAAGTGCTGAGATTACAGGTGTGAGCCACCTTCCTGGGCAAAAATGTGAAGATTTCTTACATAGGTAAGCTCGTGTCACGGGGTTTTTTTGTACAGATTTCATCACCCAGGTATTAAGCCCAGTTCCCAGTAGTCATCTTTTCTGCTCCTCCCCCTCCTCCCAGCCCCCACCCTCAACTAGACACCAGTATCTATTGTTCTCTTCTTTGTATTCGTAAGTTCCCATCATTTAGCTCCCCAAAATACAGTTTTTACTTGATTTTCCTCCCTAAGAATGGAAAGCTGAAAATAAGTACTATTTTATATATTTTTTATCATTAAATAAGTATCCTACAGTTAAAATTTTGTACCTGGTGCTGATAAGAAGCTGATCGTTAGGGCCGGGCACCATGGCTCATGCCTATAATTCCAGCACTTTGGGAGGCCCAGGTGGTTGAATCACCTGAGGTCAGGAGTTTGAGACCAGCCTGGCCAACATGGGGAAACCACATCTCTACTAAAAATACAAAAATTAGCTGAGCCGGGCATGGTGGTGTGAGCCTGTAATCCCATGTACTTGGGAGGCTGAGGCAGGAGAGTCACTTGAACCAGGGAGGCCAAGGTTTCAGTGAGCCGAGATCGTGCCATTGCACTCCAGCCTGGACAACAGAGTAAAACTCCGTCTCAAAAAAAAGAATCTGATTTTTGATACTTTAAATGAAAAGAGAATTCTGTGTAAATAAAATATACTAGTGGGGACCTGGTCAAAGTTTCTGCCCTGTTGCCAAGGCCTGGGTCGTCTCCTGAAAGTAAATGGAAGGATTTGGTAGGAAACAGCCTCAAGTGCAGTGGCGTCTGGTGTTTATTCCTGCCTTCTCTCCGAGTGTTCCTCACCTCCCCTATTACGTTCACTGTCAGCATCCTGCTATTATTTCAGTGCAGTCTTGAAAACATTCTCCATAATTTAGCCCGTGCTGTGAAATAAGGCTTCTCTAGGTTGCTGACTTCAGCCCTCAGCATTTTTACAGAGCAGAATTATTAGAAGATGGAACCTGACTCAGGGCTGCTGCTTTTTTTCTCCCCGCATAACATGAACCACTTCTTTTTTTTTGAATCAGAGTCTTGCTCCGTCACCCAGGCTGGAGTGCAATGGCGAGATCTTGACTCACTGCAACTTCTGCCTCCTGAGTTCAAGCGATTCTCCTGCCTCAGCCTCCCGAGTAGCTGGGTGGGATTACGGATGCTTGCCACCATGCCTGGCTAATTTTTGTATTTGTAGTAGAGACAGGGTTTCATCATGTTGGCCAGGCTGGTCTCGAACTCCTGACCTCAAATGATCTGCCTGCCTTAGCCTCCCAGACTGCTGGGATTACAGGTGTGAGCCACCGCGCCAGGCCGACCACTTCTTTTTCCTGTTTGCACATAGGGAAAAAAGGAAAACCACTTATTTCTGTTGTCAATCTAAGTTTTATCTGTGTTCCATTTACCTGTTACACACTTCATTTGTAAGTTATTTTCATTTAACTCTTAATGAAAAAAAGGCTTCCTTTTCAAATTCCAGGGGACAAGTTTATTACCAAATTATTTGTGTCCAGTCCAAATCTCTTCTCTTACCTCAGGGAGGGTGGTGTTCCTCTCCTATTCAAGATCAGTGCTACCTGACACCTGGTTCCAGGGCCTATTCCTGGGGATTTCACTTATTTCCTTTATCTTCTGTTTGTTGTTGTTATTGTTATTGTTTTTTTTGAGACAAAGTCTCACTCTGTCACTGAGGCTAGAGTGTGGTGGCGCAGTCTCTGCTCACTGCAACTCCAACTCCTGGGTTCAAGTGATCCTCCCAACTCAGCCTCCTGGGTAGCTGGGACTACAGGAATATGCCGCCACATCCAGCTAATCTGTGTATTTTTTGTAGAGATGGGGTTTCACCATGTTTCGCAGGTTGGTCTTGAACTCCAGGACTCAAATAATCCTCCTGCTTCAGCCTCCCAGTGTTGGGATTACAGGTGTAGCCACTATGCCCCGCATTAAATTTTTTCTCAAATCAGTTTCATCCTTCAAAAAACAAAAACTCTTGATTCTTATCCAATTTTTTCTCAAATCAGTTTCATCCTTCAAAATACAAAAACTCTTGATTCTTATCCAATCTCTCTTCTTCTCCAAAAATGGTTTACATAGCAGTTCATGCTCAGCAAACCAGCATTATCAGTGACTTTAAAATCCATGAGGAAAACAAGAAAAATAACAGTGGTATAAAGTTTTTGATAAGGCTAAAGTTGTTTCATTTAAGTGACCGTCTTTCAGTGGATGTTAGGTCTTTTCTATTTTGGGGACGGTTAAAATGTTTCTTCTTTTATGAAGTGGTGGTAATAATACATGATCATTTTTAAAGTTGTTCTTATTTGACAAAATGTGAAAGTCAGCGGCACGCTTATTTTGGTTCTTCATTATCATTTTATTTTGTTCTGCTTTTTAAAAAATTCACAGGTCTTAGGAGACCCAAAATTCTGAGAGGTGTTGGTCTAATGTCAGCCTACAGCTTCTCTTTCATTTCTCCCTCTGTCCATGCCTGCAAAATATCTCTGTATCTCTGGCCACATTCACAGCAACCTTGTGTTCTTGCATCAAAAGAGCCTTAGCTAAATGCACAATCCATAAGGTGCATTTCTTTCTCACTTAATTTTTTTTTTTTTTTTTTTAAAGATGGGGTTTCATTATGATGGCCAGGCTGGTCTTGAACTCTTGACCTCAGGTGATCCACCCACCTCGGCCTCCCAAAGTGCTAGGATTACAGGCATGAGCCACCGCGCCTGGTCTTTTCTTTTCTTTTGAGATGGAGTCTTTCTCTGTTGCCAGGCTGGCATGCAGTGGCGTGATCTTGGCTCACTGCATCCTCCACCTCTCAGGTTCAAGCGATTCTCCCCGCTCAGCCTCCCAAGTAGCTGGGACTACAGGTGCACGCCAACATACCTGGCAAATTTTTGTATTTTTAGTAGAGACAGGGTTTCACCATGTTGCCCTGGCTGGTCTTGAACTCCTGACCTCAAGTGACCCACCCACCTAGGCCTCACAAAGTGCTGGGATTACAGGCGTGAGCCACTGCAGCCTGGTTGGGCCCAAGAATTTGACCAGTTGATATTAAGGTTGAACAGAGCAAATGTCTCAGAAGACTCTAGAAGGCTGAAAGCTTGCGGGAGGGGATCTCCTAGCATCACTGTGTGCAGGCAGTGTGGTGTGTTTAAATCAGCAGGAGGCTGGAGAGCTGGGTTCTCTTCTGTTCTTAGCTCGGCCACTCCCCAGCATGCACCTGGAGCAGCATCCATCTCCCTTCTCTTCTCTCAGCCTTGGTTTTCCTATTTGCAAAAGGAGAAGTTTTAACTAGATAAGCCCTACGATTCTCTTCAACTTTGCAATTTATGTATGTAAAATTCATGCACCACCACCAGGGGGAGCTAAATCCATGATTAGCTGGGCTTTGCATCCAAGTAGCTAGAACTATGGAACCTTTCGTTTTGCAACCTGGCAACTAAGCAAAAGAGCATCAGGGGTTGGGAGTCACAGATGGGGGTATTTTGTATACCAACTTACAATATCAAACAAAACTGTAAATATTTTCAGTATAAAATTTGATGGGTCATAAGTGAAGTTATACTAGTGGAAATTTTAGCTCTTCTGAGAATTCTTTCCTTTTCTCCCAAACCTTGTAGTTTTCTCCCATAATTTCTATTACAAGCACATTGATATCCTGAAATGTACTGTGCTGATAACGGGGTCGTATTCCACATTGTTGCTGCAGTTCAGGATCTTTTAAAGGCGGTTCACATCATCTGTTTTTCCATATTAAGACATCTTTAAAGTTTTCCTTTGTTTCTATTTAGAATGTGTTGCAATCTGAGTAGAGGAACTAAATCTTGAAGAACTGTTGAAGGAGATATAAGATCATGAATGACCTGTCTAACACCAAAATGTTTTGGGGTCTGTAGATTTTCAGTGTTGCTGCTTGACAGTAACCATTATGTGAATATAATAGCTGTTGCTTTGATGGTTCTGCAGAACGGGTCTTAAGCAGTTACGCCTTATTGTACCATTCATCTCTATTTGTAATTCATTCTTTTCCCTTACTGGAGTACTTTCAGAAGAGCATGAACTATGGAAGTAAGGAGTGGTGACTGCTTTCTTTTTTTTTTTTTTTTTGAGACTGACTCTTGCCCTGTCACCTAGGATAGAGTGCAGTGGCGTGATCTCTGCTCACTGCAACCTCCACCTCCTGGGTTCAAGTGACTCTCTTGCCTCTGCCTCCCGAGTAGCTGGGATTACAGGTGGCTACCACCACACCTGGCTAATTTTTGTGTTTTTAGTAGAGACAGGGTTTCACCATGTTGGCCAGGCTGGTTTTGAACTCCTGACCTCAAATGATCCAACTGCCCCGGCCTCCCACAGTGCTGGGATTACAGGCATGAGCCACCACGCCCAGCCAGTGACTGCTTTCTGTTCAGAAGTGAATATAATGGTGTAAGGAGGTCGAGATCACACTTACACATTCTTTCCTCCCCAGGAGGAAGTCAGGATGCAGGAGAGCACAGCATAACAGGGCTGGCCAGGGCTGGTGCCGTTTGGGATAGAAGGTAGGATGTGTAGTGGGAAGCTGGGTATGCGCCAGGAAGGCCGCCCTGGTGGTCCATTATGGGGGGACAGCAATCATGCCTATGTTTGTATGAACTCAAGATTTAGCTCCGACTTACAAAAGTAAGAACATGCACTATTTGGTTTCCCATTTCTGTGTTAGTTTGCTTAGGATAACAGCCTTCAGTGGCATCCATGTTGCTGCAAGGATGTGGCTTCATTCTTTTTTTTTTTTTGCCATGACAAAAGTTAACAGAAGAATAGAACATCTTCTACATTTGAGACCAAGAAGTGCTCACACCTTGCAGGAAGTAGAGAAGGTTTGGATCACATCACCGGGCGTAGCATCTTGATGAGTTGAATTGCTGGCTAAACACAAAGAGACATGGAATGATGGTAGAGGGAGAAAGTACAACTCGTGCCTTGTGACCTGATGTGGAAGCCAGGACTGTAGAAGCTACCCAGATTTTCTTCCTTACTCAGTTGTGTATACATTTATGTGTGGGTACTATTTTTTCTCGCTTTCTCCTACTATTTTATATAGGATAAAGTGGTGCCGATGAACTTTTTAATTCTATTGCATAGGATAGGAAGATGAATTGGACCAGGCACGGTGGCTCACAGGTTCCCGCCTATAATCACAGCACTTTGGGAGGCTGAGATGGGCAGATCACGTGAGGTCAGGAGTTCAAGACCAGCCTGGCCAACATGGTGAAACCCTGTCTCTATCAAAAATACAAAAATTAGCTGGGTGTGGTAGCATGCATCTGTAGTCCCAGCTAAATGGGAGGTTGAGGCAGGAGAATCGCCTGAACCCAGTAGGCAGAGGTTGCAGTGAGCTGAGATCGTAACACTGCACTCCAGCCTGGGCAACAGAGTGAGACTCCGTCTAAAAAAATAAATAGATAAATAGAGATTAACTGGAATTAACTAGAGCCAATAAATATCACCCAGATGTTTACAGTGACTGATGGGACTTGGCAGCAGTGGGTGGGGGTGAAGGTGGAGAATAAACACGTCTTCACTTGCATGAAGGAGTGTTGTTCGGTGTCGTAGGAGCATGTTGTCTCCACTTTTGTCATTTGGAAGTTTCAGCGTGTGCAGAAGGGTATGTCCTTTAGATATTTGTGCGCTTAGATATTTATGCCTGGCTCTTTTTCTCAAAGAGGAGGTGTCTCAAGGCAGGACCTGTGTCTGGCACAGGTAGTGTTTCCTCCAGTGTCCCACAGGCAGCAGGAGTTTGATAATGAGTTTGAGTGAGTAAATGGCTTTTACTTTTTTTTTTGAGACAGAGTCTCGCTCTGTCACCAGGCTGGAGTGCAGTGGTGTAATCTTGGCTCACTACAACCTCCACCTCCTAGGTCCAAGCGATTCTCCTGCCTCAGTCTCCCAAGTAGCTAGGACTGCAGGTACATGCCACCATGCCCGGCTAAATTTTTTTTGTATTTTTAATAGAGACAGAGTTTCACCATGTTGGCCAGGCTGCTCTTGAACTCTTGACTTCATGATCTGCCCACCTCGGCTTCCCAAAGTGTTGAGATTACAGGCGTGAGCCACCATGCCGGGCCAAAATGGCTTTTACTTAACACACGTGTGCTGTAACCCACCTCTGGCTTTTCCCACCCACAGCTGTGCATGTCTGATAAACTGTGGGAACAGATAGTCCAGTCGACTTGTGACACCATCACTCCCGACATGAGGGCCCTGGCAGCGGATGTGGGCTGGAGGAAGGTGTTTTTCACCAACAAGCTCCAGCTCCAGCGGCAGCTCCGCAGGAGGAAACAAAAGCACGGAAGCCTGAGAGACAAGCAACCTTAGACGCACATTTTCCCACCAGCAGGGGAGCTGAGGCACGGCTCTGTTTCTCTTCGGTGTCCAAATCTCTTCTGTCTCCTTTTCTTAAGAACTAAGGTTTTGCTGATGCATGGAGCAATTTAAAAGCATAGAGGATTTGCACACAAATGCAGCAGAACCTGGCTGCTCAGTGCCTTGCTGGAGTCACCATCCCTGTCCTTCTGGGGTCAGATCATGGCCTGAGGACAAGGGCTGCAAGACGTGGAACCCTATAGGCCACCATCTTCCTTATCCCAACCCCCACGAGAAAAGAGGCTTCTGTTGTATGTAAACAAATAATAAATGATTATTAGCAGGTTTTTATTAGACATCTGTTTTATGTAGGCATTTGAAAGGGTAATGGGGCTTTTGAATTTTTTCCTGGTGTTGTGTCATCTGAGTCCAGCCATGGAGCAGATGGCTGAGTGTCCCCAACGGGAACCGTGAGGGGCAGGTACCACAGGAGGCATTTGTGGTTAGTGCAGCTGCCTTCTGCTAAGTCCATATTCAGGGCCCTGTCCTTGTGGGCCCGGGACGCCAGGCTCCGTCTCCCCACGTAGACAGCTTCTGACCTGGCGCTGAGTCTTAGCTGGAGGAGCGCAGGCATCCTGCTTACGGATCTTGCTCAAAGTACAACTTCCCAGGACTGCTTCACATTGTTAAATAAACCTATCGTCATTGCTTTCTTTTTCTTCTTCTTCTTTTCTTTTTTTTTTTTTTGTATTTTCTTTTTAGTAGAGATGGGGTTTTGCCATGTAGGCCAGGCTGGTCTTGAACTCCTGACCTCAAGTGATCTGCCTGCCCCAGCTTCGCAAAGTGCTGGGATTACAGGTGTGAGCCACTACATCTGGCCAAAACCTATAAACATTTCTTAGAGAAATGCTGTTTCCCCAAAGAAATGTGAATAGCTACCACTTTTCACAAGGATATTTAAGAAAACAGGCTGAGTTAAGTAAGTGAAAATGTAAGTATGGCTTGTATGCTGTTAAGATGGCAGAGGGATAAAAAGAATACAGTTCTAGGGGAGAAAGGTCACTTCACTGAGAAGGGTTACATAAAAATGTTTTTCTTGGCCAGGTGCAGTGGCTCATACCTGTAATCCCAGCACTTTGGGAGACCAAGGTGGGCGGTTCACGAGGACAAGAGTTCGAGACCAGCCTGACCAACATGGTGAAACCCCATCTCTACTAAAAATACAAAAATTAGCCGGGTGTGGTGGCAGGCACCTGTAGTCACAGCTACTCAGGAGGCTGATGCAGGAGAATCGCTTGAACCCGGGACGGGGAGGTTGCAGTGAGCTCAGATTGCGCCATTGCACTCCAGCCTGGGCAGTAGAGTGAGACTCCATCTAAAAAAAAAAAAAAAAAAAATGTTTCTTTCTGCACTTTCTTGATTATTAAGTACCCCCAGAAAATGAACTCATAGCAGCAAATGATCCAATGACTCCTTTTAGGTTACAGAGCAAAGTAGCTTTCTACTTCCATATCACATTGTAATATATAGCCTTGTAATTTCTTCTTCCCTGCAACCTCCGCCTTCCTACCTAGGAAAACTCACATACCCTGTGCCAGAGAAACTGCCCAGGATGCACCACTGCCCCCTGAAGAATACAGAAGTTGTGGACCCTGGCTTTTCACCCCACCCAAGCCCTTCCAGAAGGCTCAACAGCGTGGTTTAGTGCCACTTTTTTTTTTTTTTTTTTTTTTTTTTTTTTTTTTGAGACGGAGTCTTGGTCTGTCGCTAGGCTGGAGCGCAGTGGCACAATCTCTGCTCACTGCAACCTCCGCCTCCCGGGTTCAAGCAATTCTCCTGAGTAGCTGGGACTATAGGCACGCGCCACCACGCCCAGCTAATTTTTGTATTTTTAGTAGAGACAGGGTTTCACCATGTTGACCAGGATGGTCTCTCTATCTCTTGACCTCGTAATCCACCCGCCTCGGCCTCCCAAAGTGCTGGGCTTACAGACGTGCGCCACCGTGCCCGGCCAGTACACACAGTTATAAGTTTTCTGTGACTGCGAAATCAAGGGCAATCTGCCTCCTGGCAGATGAGGAGCCTGACGTGGTTATGTCTGGATTTAGTCCAAGAACGGAGCAAAGCTTTATCAAGAGATCCAGGCCACATTCTCCACTCAAGAGAGTCTGCTAGGGCAGGTACAGGTGACTAGCAGGCAGCTCAGATCAGGAAGGCACGTGCACGGGTCTGGCTGCCTTGGCTCTCCCTGAGCTTTCAGACTTCACTCACAGCCTAATTTTCAGTGACAGAACATAGGTTTATATCGTGAGGATGTAGATTATGTATGTCAGCATAACTTCGTATATAACTGTAATTTACTTGTAACATCAGCACAAAATGATTAAAGCTTCATGTGTAGTGCTTTATCAACAGACTCTGAAAGCTTATGGACATGCAGAATAGTCGATTCAACATGAATCAATAAGAACACAAATTAGCAATTTGAAAACACTATGTATATATTTACACACAGGTACAATATAGACTTATATGTAGTATATAATAATATTACATATAAAAATGTCATAAAAATAAATGCTAAAGTAAATAATTAGAAATAAGAGTTAATATGTTGACTTTTTTTTTTTTGAGGCAGAGTCTCACTGTCACCAGGCACCAGGCTGGAGTGCAGTGGTGCAATTTCAGCTCACTGCAACCTCCGCCACCCAGGTTCAAGCAATTCTCCTGCCTCAACCTCCCAAGTAGCTGGGACTATAGGCGCACACCACCACGCCCAGCTAATTTTTGTATTTTGGTGGAGACGGGGTTTCACTATGTTGGCCAGGATGGTCTAGATCTTGTGACCTCGTGATCCGCCCACCTCAGCCTCCCAAAGTGCTGGGATTACAGATGTGAGCCACCACGCCTGGCAATATGTCGACTATTGTTAAATAATAGTTAAAATAATACAGATTATTAAATTATTTCAGTACTTTTGTTACTTGATTATAATTGTTTTTGCTGAAATGGAAACAATATTACCAAGTGAACATCCTGTATGTCCCCAGCATCCTTAGTGGTTGAAACATTTTGTCCCTCCCTCCCCCATCTCATTTTCCATGTGAGGCTCCACATGACAATCCCATAACATGGTAATAGGCAGCGATGGTCTTGACTGTCTGCTTCTATTAACAGCTTTCATGTGGATGGATAAATCTGCTTTATGTCCTAACATTTCAGAGTGAAATGCCACAGCATTTTTTTTTTTTTTTTTTGAGATTATCGCTCTTGTTGCGCGGGCTGGAGTGTGATGGTGCGATCTTGGTTCACTGCAACCTCCTCCTCCCTGGTTCAAGCGATTCTCCTGCCTCAGTTTCCCAAGTAGCTGGGATTACAGGCTTGTGCCATCACGCCCGGCTAATTTTTGTAGTTTTACTATAGAAAGGGTTTCACCATGTTGGCCAGGCTGGTCTCAAACTCCTGACCTCAGGTGATTTGCCTGCCGGCCTCCCAAAGCACTGGGATTACAGGCATGAGCCACGGTGCCCAGGCTTACAGCATTTTATAATCTTGCCCTTTCTCCTCTTTTCAATCAAATGTGTTTCTACTCTGTTGTCATTTACCATTGTAATTACAAAATACTGAAAATTTCGGGTGGTTTATATATTTAGTGTTATAAGAACAATTTATTAACAATAGAAAATAAATATGTATTTTTAATTTATAACACGATAATAAATATATTTTACTTAATGTCAAGTTTTACTACTGCTTTTTTCCCAAACACGTTGGCATAATATACGCGTTAAAGCTCAGCAATATAGAATCCAAAATGTAGGCCCCACAACTAAGGCTGAGATGATCACTTGGGGAGGGACTGCAAGCAGGGGTAAGGACCAGGTACCACTTGTCATTGTTTTGTGAGCTGCTTGTGTACATAATGGTCATCAGTCTTATTTATTACCCCAAACTGGCTTCTAAGGTGCTGAAGAATAATATAAAACAACCTTACTAAAAACATCAAACATGCCGGGCGCGGTGGCTCACGCCTGTAATCCCAACACTTTGGGAGGCCGAGACGGGTGGATCACGAGGTCAAGAGATCGAGACCATCCTGCTTCACGTGGTGAAACCCCATCTCTACTAAAAATACAAAAAATTAGCTGGGCATGGTGGCGCGTGCCTGTAGTCCCGGCTACTCGGGAGGCTGAGGCAGGCGAATTGTCTGAACCCAGGAGGCGGAGGTTGCAGTGAGCCAAGATCGCGCCATTGCACTCCAGCCTGGGTAACAAGAGCGAAACTCCGTCTCAAAAAAAAAAAAAAAAAAACATCAAACATGTACATCACAGTTTTTTGCCCTGAGTTTTAGTATAATGACCTCTGTCTTCAGTTTGTATTAATATACTATGAGAGACTATCCAAGCTTTTCAATTCTGAATAGTTGGTTTCAACTTGAAGTGGATGTCTTTGGTGTCGTGTTAAAAACATTTGAGATGAATGACAATGGAAACACAATATCAAAACCTGTGGGATGCAGAAAAGCAACCTAAGAGGGAAGTTTAGAGCAAAAAATGCCTATATTGAAAAAGAAGAAAGACCCCAGGCCAGGTGCAGTGGCTCATTCCTCTAATCACTGCACTTTGGGAAGCTGAAGCGGGAGGATCCCTTGAGCCCATGAGTTCAAGACCAGTCTGGGCAACATAGGGAGACCCTGTTTCTACAAAAAATAAAAAGATTAGCCCAGCATGGTGGCACATGCCTGTGGTCCCAGCTACTTGGGAGGCTGAGGTGGGAGGACTGCTTGACCTGGGAAGGACGAAGCTCTAGTGAGCTGTGATCACACCCCTGCACTCCAGGCTGGGCAACAGAGTAAGACTCTGTCTCAAAAAAAATAAAAAAGGGGCCGGGCGCGGTGGCTCAAGCCTGTAATCCCAGCACTTTGGGAGGCCGAGGCGGGTGGATCACGAGGTCAAGAGATCGAGACCATCCTGGTCAACATGGTGAAACCCCGTCTCTACTAAAAATACAAAAAATTAGCTGGGCATGGTGGCACATGCCTGTAATCCTAGCTACTCAGGAGGTTGAGGCAGGAGAATTGCCTGAGCCAAGGAGGCAGAGGTTGCGGTGAGCCGAGATCGCGCCATTGCACTCCAGCCTGGGTAACAAGAGCGAAACTCCGTCTCAAAAAATAAATAAATAAATAAATAAATAATAAAAAAGGAAAAGAAAAAGAACTATCCCAAATAAATAGCCTAACATTACATCTTAAGGAGCTAGTAGAAGAACAAACTAAATCAAAACTTAGCAGAAAGAAGGAAATAAAGATTTGAGCAGAAAAAATCAAATAGAGAACAGAAAAACCATAGAAA